AAAATCAAGGGAGGTCCTTCTCTTCTTTTCTCTAAACTAGCTAAACAGTTCCTGCAACCGTTCATGATATGTTTTAGCCTCCAGCCCCCTAAACATCCTGGTTGTTCTTTTCTGCACCCTCAACATCTTTTTTATAGTGGTGACCAAAACTGGATGGTCTAAGGCTTTGTAGAGTGGTGATTGTACCTCCCTTGATTTTGATTGTATCCTTCTGTTAATGCATCTTCGGATTGCATTGGCTTCTTTTGGCTGCCTCTGCACACAGCTGGCTCATATTTAACTGGTTTTCCACTAAGACTCCGACACACACACACACACACACACACACACACACACACACACACACAGCTTGCGATGCATAGCTTGGCAGAATGGCAGCCATGACAGGAGACATTCCTATTCCTCTTTAGCTAAGGTACTTCAGATAGAGGCAAATCTATAGTTCTCAACTTATATATTTGTTTAATGACCATTCCAATCAAAACAGTACAGAAAAAAAGGGACGACTGGTTTTTGACACCCAAACAACTGTTGCAGCATTCCCACGGTCCACGTAAATAAAATTTGGACACTCGACCACTGGCACGCATTTGTGACTTGCCTTTTCCCATGGTCGTGTGGCACAACTCAACAGCTGCTTTACTTAGCAATGGAAATGTTGGGCTCAACGTCGGTTGTAAGTCGAGGACTTGAGTTGGAAACACCCAAGTACGGCTCTTGTCCTGGCCAGGGGGCGGGGGGGGGACCCCTCCGCCTTTCTAAAATGAGAACTTTTTTTTTTTTTTGCTTTCTTTCACGCCACACCCTGTTATGCCTTTGTCTGCCTCTAGGTTTCACAGCCGACTTGAGATCCAACACCGGAGGCCAAGCTTTCCCGCAGTGCGTCTTTGACCACTGGCAGATTCTCCCCGGGGATCCCTTTGACAGCGCCAGCCGTCCTTGTCAAGTGGTCAGCGAGACGCGGAAACGCAAAGGGTTGAAAGAAGGCATCCCCGCGCTCGATAACTTCCTGGATAAGTTGTAAACCGGTCGAATGAAATAGTAGCGCACCAGATCTTGAGAAAAAAAAAGAATAAATTTTAAAAATGGCTGTTGTGGGACTCGAAATGAACTTTTAACTAGTGTAAAAAGAAAAAAAAAATCAAACCAAACCATGGTGGTTAGATGTGCTTGTGGCTGGGATTGGCGGCTGTTTCTTTTTCCCCTCCCCTTTCCTCCTCCTCCCCCCCTTTCCAATCACGCCTACATTTTCAGCCTTGATGAAAGGGGTTTCTTTTCACACAACACGCCAGAAAAACCCACTACTCGGCCCCGTTGTTAACTTAAGAAAATACGCTTCCATTTAACGCACCCCGAAACGCGGCTCATCTCCATATTTATCTGAACATCACGGAGGCAATTGGGGGGGGGGGGAGAGAGAATTGGCCAGGTTTTTCTTCCTTGGAGAAATTTTGGAAAGGAGGAAGAAGAGGGGTTTTTGGGGGGGGGCAGAGACGTGGGAAATCCGTTTTGCTCTCTTGGAAGGTTGGACGAGACGCGGAAGGAGAAAATCAACAAAAGTCATTTTTATCGGGATTTTGAGGGAAGGAGGCTTTCTAGCCGGACGGCTTGTAGGTTATCCTTGTGCAAATCAATGTATTTAGAACCACTGGAATAATAAATATAAGAATGTCTGATCGGGCTTCCTGTTTATGTTGAAACGTATCATCGAGATCTTGTTAGGAGGAATGAAGTTGGGGGGGGGGCGGGAAATACAGATAGTCCTTGACTCATGACTCATCACTTAGCATTCGTTTGAAGTTACGATCGATCCCACCCCACTTAGGACTATGATACAAATGCTGGTACCACCTTACAGGCGCACGACACACCATTCTGGGCCCTTGGCAACCGGCCTGCCTTTATGCCGTTTTACAGCCTCCTGGCTGTAATCATGATACAATTTTTCACATTTTTTCGAAGAGACATTGACATTGTGCGATGAGCCGTGGTTCGAATACAGCGTCCCAGGCTGACTGCCCGCTGCCATGAGTTCGATCCTGACCGGCTCAAGGTTGACTCAGCCTTCCATCCTTCCAAGGTTGATAAAACGAGGATCCAGATCGTTGGGAGTGTGGGGGCATAGGCTGACATTGTAAACGGCTTTGAAGAGGGGCTGTAAAAGCACTGGAAGAGTATATAAAATTGCTTACTCCTCTATCATATATCTATATCTTCTCTATCTACAATACAATAGCAGAGTTGGAAGGGACCTTGGAGGTCTTCTAGTCCAACCCCCTGCCTAGGCAGGAAGCCCTATACCCTTTCAGACAAATGGTTACCCAACTTCTTAAAGATTTCCAGTGTTTGGGCATTCACAACTTCTGGAGGCAAGCTATTCCACTGATTAATTGTTCTAACTGTCAGGAAATTCCTCCTTAGTTCTAAGTTGCTTCTCTCCTTGATTAGTTTCCCCCCATTGCTTCTTGTTCTGCCCTCAGGTGCCTTGGAGAATAGCTTGACTCCCTCTTTGTGGCAACCCCTGAGATATTGGAAGGCTGCTATCATGTCTCCCCTAGTCCTCCTTTTCTATAAACTAGACATACCCAGGTCCTGCAACCGTTCTTCATATGTTTTAGCCTCCAGTCCCCTAATCCTCTTTGATGTTCTTTGCACTCTTTCTAGAGTCTCCAGATCTTTTCTACATCGTGGTGACCAAAGCTAAATACAGTATTTCAAGTGTGGCCTTACCAAAGCATTATAAAGTGATATTAACCCCTCACGTGATCTTGATTCTATCTACAATATTTATTCCTGTGTATTCTCTCAAGCTCTGGTGCAGGGATTAGAATTCAGTGGTCAGGATTCCAAGTGATACACCAACAGCAAGCAAAACTCCAAGGCAGGTAGATTCCTCAAAGGATAGTTTTATTGGATATATCATTGCAGTGTTGGTGAACCTTTTTTTATCACCAAGTGCCAAAACGGGGGAGCGCCGGAAACCAGCTGCTCTTGGTTTCCGGGGCTCCCACACAGGTGTAGACCAACTGGCGGGTGCGGCAGAACTTGGAAGAGAAACGGCTGGCGTACCTGGAGAAATGGCTCTGCCTGCCACTTCCAGCATACCTGCCGTAGGTTTGCCATCACGGTCGTGTTGGCACAAGCTGGTGAAAACCAACTCAAGGTTCCTGCAATTTTCACCTAATTAAAAGTTTTCCCTCAACCTCAAACCGTCAGTCACATGGTCCATTCAAGGCGCTGTCTGGTTGCCTGGTGACACTCCTTCCTCTGGCCAGGTGTGAGAATGTCCTTGGTTCCCAAGAGAAAGTATTTTGCTTTGGCTACAAAACCCCGGCTATCTCTAATTCCCTCTCTCTAGCTCTCAGCTCCAGAGTGGCAACACTGTAGCTCCCAATATTGATTCGGTCAGGTCAGCTTTAGAGTTGACGTCGGTATTGCAGGCTGACTGCCCGCTGCCAGGAGTTCGATCTTGACCGGCTCAAGGCTGACTCCACTTTCCACTTGAGCCTTCTGCTCCTGCTCGAGCAAGGAGCTGGACTAGAAGACCTCCAAGGTCCCTTCCAACTCTCTTCTATTTCATCCTTCCAAGGTCGGTAAAATGAGGAGCCAGATTGTTGGCAATAGGCTGACTCTTAAGTAGCTTAAGAGAAGGCTGTAAAGCACTGTGAAGCGGTAAATAAGATTTAACTGCTATTGCTATTTTTGCCAAAATAGATGTTTAGTTCCACTTTTTGGCAAACAAAGGTTCACTGTATTCCACCGTATTCACTTAACGGCTACCAAACTTGTAAAATCAGTTCAGTTTGTGACGGGCTGCTTTACAATTGTCTAAATTGACTAAATCATGTCAGAGGGACCCGGTGGCTCAGTGGCTAAGACGCTGAGCATGTCAGTCAGAAAGGTCAGCAGTTTGGTGCTTCAAATCCCTAGCGCCACATAACAGAGTGAGCTCCCGTGACTTGTCTCAGCTTCTGCCAACCTGGCAGTTCAAAAGCAAGTAAATAATGCAAGTAGAAAAATAGGGACCACCTTTGGTGGGAAGGTAACAGCGTTCCGTGCGCCTTCGGTGTTGAGTC